AAACGGCCTCTGCACAGCCTGGTCAGGCCATAACAGAGAAAATAATAAACAAATGATAAGTTAAAAATTAAAAAAAACACTTTTCACGCATCGTTTACATAATACATTGTACATGTACATTGTTCCTGGTGCAAGTGGTGATGACATCCAGCCCGAAGATAACCATCCGTCGTAATGAATCTCAAATCAAAGTTGGGGCGGTGTGGTAGCCTCGTGGTTAAATCGTTGACTTGTCACGCCGAAGACCCGGGTTCTATGCACCACATGGGTACTATGTGTGAAGCCTATTTCTGGTGTCCGACGCCTTGATACTGCTGGAATATTGCTAAAATCGGCGTAAAACCATTCTCACTCACTCAAATCAAAATTAACTTTAACTTTGAAATATTTCATTAAATTTTTAAATTTCACCTTCTTGGTTGGGTGGTGGTGAAAGTGTATCGTCTTTTCACAGAAATATCTTCTGTTAAGGTGTCCTTATAAAGTTGCGCCCATTTCTGTACGAGGTATGCTTTTTAACGAAAAAAATAAACTAATACTGAAAGTATTTGACTATGATACAGATATGTCGAATGCAGTTTCGGTTTAGAATTGTAACCCGTGTTTGTCGTAACAGGCGACTGGTCAGGCTCGCTGACTTGCTTGACACATGTCATCGTATCCCAGTTGCGTAGATCGATGCTCATGCTGTTGATCACTGAATTGTCTGGTCCAGACTTGATTATTTACAGACAGCCGCCATATAGCTGGAAAACTGCTGAGTTCGGCGTTAGCCTAGTGGTTAAAGCGTTCGCTCGCCACGCCGAAGACTGGGTTCGATTCCCCACATGAGCAATATTCCAGCAATATCACGGCGGGGGACACCAGAAATGGGCTTCACTCATTGTACCCATGTGCGGATTCGAACCCGGGTCTTCGGCGTGACGAGCCAACGCTTTAACCACTAGACTAACACACACACACACACACACACACACACACACACACACACACACACACCCTTTTAACAATAACACACAGGTCACCGTGATATAGCTGAGATCCTGCGCAGTGAGGTATTAAGCAACACACAGTTGAACTTACACAAATAGCATGGCACATACTACAGTACAAAGATGATTATAGTTTATGGTGTATGCTCTTAATACGGAATGAGTATAAAAGGTATACAATGAAACATTGAAGCTTTTAAGCAATGGCAGTGCAACATATTGATTATACTGGAGCTCGAGTCTGTCGGTTGTGCTTTTCCTAGTATATCGTTACAGCAACGTCATGGTCATGCTGTGATCAATATGTCTTGGAGAAAACAGCGTTGTCTTCTTCATGAGATGCGCTGATAACTATTAAATGACTATTAGAAGCATCATCGTCTCCGTGTCATGATTCATCAAATATTTAATCACTACTGTAGAAACGCAATACCGAGGTAAAACTGACTGACCGAGGTAAAACTGACTGACCGAGGTAAAAGTTTGGTTTTACGCCGCTTTTTAGCAATATTCCAGCAACATCACGGCGGGGGACACCAGAAATGGGCTTCACACATTGTGCCCATGTGGGGATTCGAACCCGGGTCTCCGGCGTGACGAGCCAAAGCTTTAACCATTAGGCTACCCCACCTCCCCCCGAGGTAAAAGAAGAAACAACTTGAGACTGTTGAGATTGCCATTGACGATCTTGAACGCAATATATACAAGTGATTTAGGTGTATTAGCCATAAATATAGAAAGGATGAGTCTAGATATTTCTTCTAGTCGAACCTCCTTCATCTGCACAAGATCTTTCTCTGTTCACCGGTTCTTGAAGTGTACAATCAAAGAATATACATTTTAACATTTTTGTCGTGTGTTAAACTATTTTTGGCGAAAGACGTTTGATTTTGATCACCAAATCATTTATGATTCTATACCATAGAAATCCAGGGAAAGAATTCGATCGTGTGATTGTTTGAAACTATTGCATGCGTGCATGCGTCTTCTGTTCATTTCACGTATACACTACCGGGCAAAACAAACATTCACTCGAAGATTAAATTCGAACAGAAAAATGTAAAATTTTATAGAAATATTAAAAGGATGAAGGCAGTCGACAAAATATGGGAAACTTGAGTTCCAAATCAAAAGATAACTGTGACAGCCGTATTAAATACAACTCTCCATCGAAAATACATTTTCATTTTCCCCGCAGATCAGATATGATGTTTCCTGGGGTATCGGCAGTATAGTCGGCAGGTATTAGAGTCATATTGATTTCCAAAAGATGCGCAGAACCTCACGATATAAAGAATATAATGCTGGGGGGAAGGAATAATAATGATAAGAAGTGCATGTATAATGCGCTAAACTCCATTCACAAGGTGAATGCTCATAGCGCGAACAATCAAAGCGGCTGATATTGTTTGTTTGTATTTTTAAAAGAATATTAAGGCCCCTTGTTTTAACATCGTTATTTTGATATCTTGATTTGTAGCTGTAGCTCCTTACAAAATCATCCCACCCCCTAGACCCAGCCCACCCCTACCCCTAGAATATCAAAATGTCGCTTCCTAAATAGTTACCAAGATAATGTAGACAGGCATTCGCCATGGACAGACAGGACTGTATTTGTACCTCTGTCCTTTAAAACTACCTCTAGTAACCATAATAACGAACATGGCTTACACGGGCCTTCTATACAGCCGCACCATGTTATTGATTTACCGACTGACAAAGGACATACAGCTTCCGTAGTGTGTATAAAGATATCGAAAGACCGTCAATTCATCAATATCTATCACAGAAGTGGCCTTTCCTATTCCATAGACACATCGTGAAAAAGCCATTGAACAACTTGTTCAAATAGTCTGTTTTGTTTAGGAGGTAAATAGTATATGTGTTCACGTTAGTTGTTGGTAATACATTATCGATGTCAGGAAACATCATTACCTTGGAAACGACGGTATTAGCCAAAGGTCTCAAATGTTAAACCTCCTGGGCAGCAAATACTTCTCGTTCTTGTTCATCGGACATCAAATAAGCCAATATAGCTATTGGTCACTTGATCAAAATAGCATACAATAATCATGTGCGGTGTTCGTTGCACAGAAACAGCTGCATGTCCAGAAATGTCTCAACAAACAAAACAAAGACGACAAAGTAAACAAACTAAAAGCAAAAGCACGTTTCTCATTGGGATCATATTGTAGCTTGGAAATACATAAATCGATGGGGACTGTTGGAAGTCATTCATCACGTTACCCCAGATTGCAACATCTACCGCAAGAACAGGTATCTCGGATTACGACAAGACGTGCCTGTTTCCGGTAGCATGACATTTGTGTGACAAGAAAACATCGTTCATGATTGTTACAAAGAGGATTACATTCGTCTCATTATGACGAATGAAGCCTTAGTATTAACTACACGATGGGAGATTAGCAGTGATTATCAGCAGTCTTACTTTCATGATACCTGTGTGGCCAGTTCATGGCGTTAATTAAGCATTAGTTGCTGCCAGTAACTGTTTATATTAGCAACGACTGCAAAACAACCATAGGCGAAATCAGTGATGTTTTGTATCTTACTGAATGCATTGTTCGCCTTCAATATAGTCCTCCATATTTAATGTGTCCAGTCGATGTCCTTTCTGAACTCTGGGTGTATGTGTAAACATCGACAGATACAAGGAACAGGGGTGTGAATACATTTCATTGGCCCTGATTGGAACAGTTAATGTTATACCTGTGAAAGATTACGTTATACTATACTACGTAAAGTCCTTTCGAAACTTTGTTAACAGATTTTCAGAATTATAACTTCTTTCAGGATTCCAAAAAGCTCTGAAACCGATATTCGTATTATTAATATTCAGTGCCATTTAGAAAGTGGTCAAATGTAACATATGTTATATCTATGGATTACACTTTCTTAGAAAAGTACAGATTCTAGTACTTTTGTTGGGGTGAGTCCCATCCGGGATTCGAACCCACACCCTCAGAGCCACGGACCTAATCGCCAGCACAGACGCCTAAAGTACTAGAATCTGTACTTTACTAAGAAAGTGTAATCTCAAAAACATAACATATGTTACATTGGTATTATTACCTTCCAAAGTATGAGCACTACCTGGTATTTGTTATAAAAATAGCAAAAGATTAAGGGAAGGAACCTGTTTGTGAAGTCAGTCAATTTCACCTGTAATATGATATTATTCGTTTGTCATACATTTGTTTATTCCACATTCTCAGGAGCGGTGGGGTAGTCTAGTGGTTAAAGCGTTGGCCCGTCACGCTGAAGACCCGGGTTCGAATCCCCACATGGGTACAATGAGTGAAGCCCATTTCTGGTGTCCCCCGCCGTGAAATTTCTGGAATATTGCTAAAAGCGGCGTAAAACCAAACTCAGTAAGTCAGTCCACATTCTCAATCATTTGAATTTGTCCATACACCGTCAAACATCACTTTGTATTGGCGCATTTGTATGTACGTGAATTTCCATTTTGAAAACTATAAAATGCACAAATAGAGACAAAAATCACCTACATCCTCCGACGAGTTGACATCGGTTTCCATGACAATGGTCCAGTCATCACGTGTCTCGGTGTCATTGATCTAACCCTTTCAGAAATAATAGACCTCACCTCCATTCATATGGTTACAAAGTCAAACCTAATTTGACTTTAGGGCCAATGAACCACTTAGCAGTACCGGTCGATAAACATGGTCCGCGCCATCTACCAATCGATGGACATCATAAATACGTATATTCAGTATGCCTACAATTTATTTATAATACTATAAACACTCGTACAAGAACAAATTGTCCACAACACTATAACTCAGAACCATCGATGTAGTCTGGCGCTGTTGAGAGGCCTTGTGATCATACATATTAACACAGGCGGAATAAATTACTGCCATTGTAATTATCATTATCAGGTTGTCCTAAACAGTGTCGAGGAAAGACGTTTGTTGTTCGATCACCATAAATGGGATTGGACTGACTGACTGACTGAGTTTGGTTTTACGCCGCTTTTAGCAATATTCCAGCAACATCACGGCGGGGGACACTAGAAATGGGCTTCACACATTGTACCCATGTGGGGATTCGAACCCGGGTCTTCGGCGTGACGAGCCAACGCTTTAACCACTAGGCTACCCCACCACCCCAAATGGGATTGGACGATACGTTGGAAAATGTACATTGTTTAAAATGGCACTTATAATTTATAAATTCTCCTTTTAGTAAAGATTAAATTTATTTATATTGAATTGCGGTTAATGTCATAACCATATAGTCTTGTCATCTCATTATCTGTCATGTTTCATTTCTAGTGTACGCGCCGGAAGTGGAGAGTTGTACGGGGAGACAATTTTGATTTCTATTTATGGTTTCTAAATGAACACTATTCTTCTATTGACGAAATAGGTTTGCGTAATCCGACTTTCTTTTTATAGTTTTCTGTGTAGATAATTTCATTGGTTTTAAAGAAATTTATATTATTGTAGCGGCCATAACATTTCCGAGTCCTTCTCATTCCAAGTCGGACGTCTTGTTCACATGACCAAAGAGGTTAACCCCATCAGCAAGCTGACAAGGTAAGGATGTCATCTGTGTCCAGTCCACAGTCCATATCCAGTCCACAGAAGGCACTTCCCCGGGTAGCATAGCGGGGTACTGAGACCTATTTTGATCACATTTTATATACTACCCATCAAAGGTTTAGACTCACTGGTGTAAATTTAGCCACTTACTTCAGCCAACTGTTCTAAACTAGATTTTGCAAAATAATCCATACTGTTTAAAGGTACTGTTTAGACATGAACTGATGTACTGTAAAACAAATTCGTAACGTTGAAAAGATTATTACCATGAGTTCAATAAATGATGAAACTCAGTGAAAATTGACGAATTTTTAACAAAACTTTACACCAAAACGCGGCTGTTCACATGCAATAGTTTTCCACATGCTTTTCAGCAATTTGATGCATCTGTGGGATGTAATCTGTGGGATAACCCCACGCCCTGCTACATTATGCTTAACTGCAAATCAAATACTCAGAAAAAATAAAGGTTTCCAGGCTGAAACATCAAATAACCGTTTTTTATCCTTTTTCAGGTATACGTCGGTTATTTTACCCGGCATTTTATTTGTAAGATAAGGCGACTAACGGGATCGGGTGGCCAGGCTCGCTGACTTGGTTGACACATGTCATCGTATCCCAGTTGTGTAGATCGATGCTCATGCTGTTGGTCACCGGATTGTCTGGTCCAGACTCAATTATTTACAGACCGCAGCCACATAGCTGGACTATTGTTGAATTAGGTGTAAAACTAATCTCGCCCACTCACTTATAAGATAACCTCTTTAAAGAGGAAAGCAGCGATCAAAAATGAATCTTTCAGATGTCATTATCAATGTGGCTGATGTAGGTAGGTGTGTCTATATGATAATTCAGTACATGAAGTAGAATCGTAAATAGGCTATCCATGCGTTGTACGATGTGTTTATTCTGGCTATCGTGTTGCGACGCTCATGCAATCAATAAAAATTGAAGTAATTTCGCAATGTGGTGCAACAGCATGACCTCATTCTATTTAGGTGTTTCTTTTTGGTAATCCCCAGAAATACTTCCTGCACTGACGCATTGTTCACAGTCGACTGGGTTCACACTGACATGAACTTACAACTACATGTACATACACTGCCAGTCAAAAGAAAATACACACGCATATTTGATGAAGCAAGAAAATGTTGCTCGAAGGTGATATCTTTTATAGTGTCTCGTAGCTGTTTTGAATCTTCAGTTTAAAGAGTTTCGCGACTATTTTTGCCTAGTTACGTTTTGATAACGTGTATATTTTCTTTTGTGCAGTAGTGTACCGTTGATTCGTGCTTATCGAACTAAGGTAAATGTGAGTTTGGTACACAAGGAATATTTCATTGCAGCCTCGGGGCGGTGGGATGCGGGGTTAAAGCGTTCGCTAGTCACGCTGGAGACGCGGGTTCGATTCCCCACATGGGAAGCCCATTTCTGGTGTCCCCCGCCATGAAAAGAGGCGTAAAACCTCACTCACTCACGCATTGCAGTCTCGCGAATGACATAGGTTATGCCCTTCAAATGTGATCTTTTGGCTGCGGCTAAATGAAGCGTCATTAACTGTATTATTAATTTCATTAAGCTAAAAATGATTTAACCAAATATATGATCTCAACATAGAGTATATCGTTCTCGAGTATACACAGAAACATAATAGATTAGGCGTCTTAGGCAAAATAGAGATGGAATTTATATGAATGGGTCACTGAAAATCCGTGATTTACGATACAAAGGTAATACTGTCAAGCCCAAGGCTCAGCACCCATTACTCGAACAAATTGCTTTATCATAAGAGTTGTCAAACACCGAACATCAGTACGACTGCCAAGGGGCTGTTGCAAGTGAACAAACCAGTCACGTAATGCAGTTAAAGTCAGTAAGGTTTTAGGCCTCTTCTAGCAATATTCCAGCAACATCACGCCGGGGGACACCAGAAATGGGCTTCACACATTGTTGGACTGAGCGTTCGTACTTAACGTCGAATCTTAGGCCCGAAGCCGACTGAAACTGAACCACTCGGACTCGGCCTTGGTTTTCTGCAGGTCCTTATGACATCTTTTTCATCCCCAATAATTATGAGTATTATTTCAACTTTTTCTGATGGTTCTGGGGGTCCTTTAGGGCCTGCAGCCTTTCAGGGTTAAGGACAAACACTGGTTGGACTTGAACCCGGATCTTTGGCGTGATGAGCAAACTCTTCAACCACTAGCTACCCCACTGCCCCTCGAACGCCGATGAGGTAAGGGCCTTGCTCTGATTTTATTTCTTTTCCTTCTTCGTGGTCAGAGGTCATTGTTTACTTACGTGCATGTCTTGGTAGCAGCAGTGTACGTCGCTCAGCAGTCGTCACAGGACACCGTCAAACCAATAACTTGGGGGTATTATTCTACCAAACCTGGACATTTTATTTAGGGGATGTGAACGCTATATTTCTGGCAACCCTAAGACATGTAATTGGGTGTAATTGAGCCACTTGTGCTTGCTTATGAAGAGTGAGTGAGTATGTATGGCTCCACACCGCTTTTAGCAATATTCCAGCAATATCACGGCGGGGGACACCAGAAATGGGTTTCACACATTGTGCCCATGTGGGGAATCGATCCCGGGTCTTCAGCGTGACGAGCGAACGCTTTAACCACGAGGCTACCCCACCGCCTCTAATGGAGTTGGAAATCCAGTGACACGCTGACACATTTACTGATTTGTTGAAATTAATGTGAAGCGTTTCCCTTGAAATACATGTATTAGTGTATAAGCGTAGATACATTATGAGTACAGTAAAAAAAAATTAAAGAAATATGTTCGCTTTTCAAAACGTTTTATTTACTTGTCATTTCTTTCCGAAAAAAATCATTTGATTGACGTTATACTACAATTTTAGCAAACTTTTAGTTTATGGGTTTGAGTATTCCGAGTTCCAGTTATTTCGCTAAGAGATGTAACTAACCGTAATGGTTTCATAAAACTTTATTACAAGATTTAAACTTCAGCTTAAAATAAAAACTGTTTTAACGTCGTGATTATGAAAGATCACCATATCTGACTCCATGATTGATTTGCTTTATTGTTCCAACTTCTATATGACATTTCGATCGAAATTAAATGTGTCGACATATCGCTGTCAATTTCACAACCAATCACAAACCGCGTTCTAATTTTGCATAGAGATGCAGTATCATATTGTCAATAGATCAGTGTAAGCATGAGACAACCTTCGGTTTATTCGCCTAACGCTCAATCAGTTCGATAATACAAACATAATTTATAGAAAATGAAGATTTCCTCAGGTCTCAGCATTAACTGCCGTGTACAATGTGTGGTATCCTTCATTGATTGGCTCACGCTTCGGTCAATTATATTTTACGGTCACAGTGTATGTACAGGGGCAAGGTAAATATACCCGGGAAATAACAAACATACAGTTATACCTTGTAAACACCGCGGTACGTATGGAATGTCAAAATAGAAATATTTAACAATGAATATCAAACATCAAGGAATATTGGATTCTTGTTTTTGTGGTTATTCGGAGGTATATGTGGAAACTTGCAATTGTATACGTATATAATATTTCGGAACATATATCGATTAATAATCCATAGTGTCTTTGACCATGGTTACACTGAAATGTTGTTATGATTACTTGAGTGAGTATGGTTTTACGCAGCCTTTAGCAATATTCAGGAAATATCACAGGGGGAACACCAGAAATGGGCTTCACACATTGTACCCATGTGGGGAATCGAACCCGGGTCTTCGGCGTGACGATCGAACGCTTTAAGCGCTGGGCTACCCCCACCGCTCCTGTCTGTAGGAAACCAGTCGGTAACATCAAAGGAACCTGAATCCTCTATTGTAACCACAAGCGTGTCATGTTTTACATTGTCTTGTAAGATATGCATCATCATTCACGGGTTGCACATGCAATGAAAAAATCAAGCAAGATATGTTTGTGCTCATGTCCACCTGGAAACTATGGAATCCGAGAAGGGACATTGTCGCGATGTCGCATGTCGCGTTTTGAATAATATTTTTCTATTCCTCCAAAGGGCGAAATTGCGACATAGCGACAACTTTCAAGGTCGCGTTGTCGCATTGTCGCCCTTCGGGGGAATGGAAAATTATTATTCAAAATGCGACATCGCGATAAATGGGCGAAATGTCGCGTTGTCGCATTGTCGCGCTTTGGTTAATTTTGCCTCATTTGGCTTGTTTTTGAGAGGGCGACAACGCGACAATGTCCCTTCTCGAATTCCATAGGAAACACCTCCAGATGCAAACCATGTGTTTCATTATTTCCTGTCTAAAGAACTTAATAATTTGAGGCCCTTTTTCACAGGATTGTCTAGATTTTTCACATGACGCCGTAATAAATATTGTTCAGGTTTACTCAAACAAACAAGCCAAAATACACAGCTATTGAGACACTGCTAGCGTGGGACTCTTGGTGTACTGTGATAACAGCCACGAGTCTCTCAGTATTCAAAGTATTAAACCCAATTTACATCGTAACAATTTACTTTCAAAACCAAGTTTGAATCCCAAAATGGTCACAGAATGTGAAGCGCATTTTCTGATGTACCCCGTTGTGATATCGCTGGAGTGGTGCTGAATGTGGAAAACCCTTCGTGAACTGCATGGTAAACATATATCAACCCCTTCCACTGCTTGTACTTGAACATTCAACAATGACCAGGGCACTGTTGTACAAAGCAACCTTAGCGCTAAGAATGCCTTAACTCAATGTTAACGTATGGGAATTTCGGTCACCTTAGCGCTAAGATCGCTTTGTACAACGGCACCCAAGTAGAAAAAGGTTTGCGTTCTCGTACGTATTGTGGTCTCTCATGCTCCAGTAGGGTTAATGACACGGCGTATGAACTCAGTAAAGATGGTTATTGATGCCGAAACATTGGATTTTATGTGTTCCAGTAGACTTCTTTCAGTGAATGGATTATCCTCCCCTTGAAAGTGGTAAATGTCACCTCGATCTCCATCCAAGTTAATCTTACCAAGCCTATTGCAATGACCTGTGGTATTTTCTACAGTACACCTTTTTTTCAAATGTTTTTAGACGGTCCAGGAAAGTAAACATTCTTAATTTGGTTGAATTTGGTAAACTGTCTTAAGGAATCCCTGAAGATTCTTTGACCAAGTGATTTAAGGTTCTGTCTCGGGGCAGTAACAAGATATTGGTCAGCTGAGCCTGATCGTAAGGCTCTAGATGGCGACGCAGATTTTATAGAGTTATTGCACTTCGGGAGCGTCATGCATTCGTGTTTGTGGCGTTGCTGTTTTCTTGTTTGTTTGTTGTTTGTTGTTTGTCAACCGCTCCCTGACACACGTTCAGTGCACGACGGATGTGGTTTATATGTCTGTAAACTCTACCACAAATCAATATTACATGGTGGATCCTTTGTTTCAGGAATAGTGCCTGCTTCAACCCATTACACATGAGGACACCCATTTCGTTTCTAAAAAGCCTGTGGCATATTTTAGCTGACAAATGTATAACTATGGATGTTCTCATGCATCATGCATCATGCATCATCATGCATCACCATGCATCACCACGCACAGTGCACCAATCTTTCTACCTGATATTCCGCAGTGTTTTTCATCCAATCGTTAGAATGTCACATTTAAACATAGCTTTCTCACTTTGGTTGCCAATGTATGATCGGTGCACAAGCAGGCTGAAACCAGAGTGTATCGATTTAGTATGATTTCGTCATAATCAGAAATACATGTACTGATGCCACGTTTGGACAAACAAACGGGTTCTTCGCAGTAGCAAAGGAATCAATTGTCTCAGAGGGTATAAATAACACGTCGTCATGCACATCTATAGTGTTAAACAGTCTCGTATTGAAAACATACGCAATCCTCATTAAACCTTGCGGTGTATTTCACATAACGTCCTATAGTAAATCCAAATCATCAAGGCCAGAACTGTTGTTTTAAACAGTTTCGTATTGAAAACATACGCAATCCTCATTAAACCTTGCGGTGTATTTCACATAACGTCCTATAGTACATCCAAATCATCAAGGCCAGAACTGTTGTTTTAAACAGTTTCGTATTGAAAACATACGCAATCCTCATTAAACCTTGCGGTGTATTTCACATAACGTCCTATAGTACATCCAAATCATCAAGGCCAGAACTGTTGTTTTAAACAGTCTCGTATTGAAAACATACGCAATCCTCATTAGACATTGTGGTGTATTTCACATAACGTCCTATAGTACATCCAAATCATCAAGGCCAGAACTGTTGTTTTAAACAGTTTCGTATTGAAAACATACGCAATCCTCATTAAACCTTGCGGTGTATTTCACATAACGTCCTATAGTACATCCAAATCATCAAGGCCAGAACTGTTGTTTTAAACAGTTTCGTATTGAAAACATACGCAATCCTCATTAAACCTTGCGGTGTATTTCACATAACGTCCTATAGTACATCCAAATCGTCAAGGCCAGAACTGTTGTTTTAAACAGTTTCGTATCCTCATTAAAATTTCACATAACGTCATATACTCAAATTAGAACTGTTGTTTTAAACGGTATTGAAAACATATTCCTCAAACTTTGCGGTGTATTTCACATAACGTCCTATAGTACATCCAAATCATCAAGGCCAGAACTGTTGTTTTAAACAGTTTCGTATTGAAAACATACGCAATCCTCATTAAACCTTGCGGTGTATTTCACATAACGTCCTATAGTACATCCAAATCATCAAGGCCAGAACTGTTGTTTTAAACAGTCTCGTATTGAAAACATACGCAATCCTCATTAAACCTTGCGGTGTATTTCACATAACGTCCTATAGTACATCCAAATCATCAAGGCCAGAACTGTTGTTTTAAACAGTCTCGTATTGAAAACATACGCAATCCTCATTAAACCTTGCGGTGTATTTCACATAACGTCCTATAGTACATCCAAATCATCAAGGCCAGAACTGTTGTTTTAAACAGTCTCGTATTGAAAACATACGCAATCCTCATTAAACCTTGCGGTGTATTTCACATAACGTCCTATAGTAAATCCAAATCATCAAGGCCAGAACTGTTGTTTTAAACAGTCTCGTATTGAAAACATACGCAATCCTCATTAAACATTGCGGTGTATTTCACATAACGTCCTATAGTACATCGTCCTAAATCGTCATCAAGGCCAGAACTGTTGTTTTAAACAGTTTCGTATTGAAAACATACGCAATCCTCATTAAACCTTGCGGTGTATTTCACATAACGTCCTATAGTAAATCCAAATCATCAAGGCCAGAACTGTTGTTTTAAACAGTCTCGTATTGAAAACATACGCAATCCTCATTAAACCTTGCGGTGTATTTCACATAACGTCCTATAGTAAATCCAAATCATCAAGGCCAGAACTGTTGTTTTAAACAGTCTCGTATTGAAAACATACGCAATCCTCATTAAAAACCTTGCGGTGTATTTCACATAACGTCCTATAGTACATCCAAATCATCAAGGCCAGAACTGTTGTTTTAAACAGTCTCGTATTGAAAACATACGCAATCCTCATTAAACCTTGCGGTGTATTTCACATAACGTCCTATAGTAAATCCAAATCGTCAAGACAACACCTGCAGTTGTTCATGTTAAACACACCCGTATTGAAAATGTACGCAATTTTCCAACAATATAACTGCGGGGGACACCAGAAATGGGTTTTTCATACATTTTAACCATTTGGGGAATCGAACCTAGGTCTTCGTCGTGACTAGCGAACAGTTTAACCACTGTAATGTTTAGTCGTATTAGTCCTTATCAAAATATGTCCATATATGTATATTGGTGTGATAATCTCGAGAAGTAACCATAATTTCGTCTGGAACCTTGCTGGTCCAGTTCGGGTCCGCATCATGTCAAACGCTGAAGACGCTCAGGTCAGATCTCAAATTGATGTTACATCTATCCACTGGTGATATTATGCTCGGTCGCAGCGAGACGCCATATTGACAGTGTCGTCCACAACAAACCGTGAGTTGGTTGGTTGGTTGTTTATGCTGGGTTCACAATGTCGTGCAATCCGTTACGAACGCCACGATTGGTCCATTCGTAGCTGATCGTGGAACTTCTCTGAAATTTCAGCTTTGGATACGAGGTGATGCGAGTGGATACAATCTGATACGATTTGTTGCGCTTGAATGCGATATTGTCACGACTGGTCAGTTTAAGGTAACGCAATCTGTCACGATCTGGTCTCCCGTTCCTCAAAGCGATCGGAGCGCTAAGATGATCGTAACTCCCATACTTTAACATAGACTTACGACTATCGTAGCGCTACGATCGCTTTGAGGAACGGGGCCCTGGTCTCCCGTTCAGATACGATCACATACGTTCTGATAGGATTATCCTGATCGAGTCCACGATTGGGTCGCGATCTGACACGATCATCACGATCGGGGTCCCCGATTTGGGACGATCTGGTACGTCCAGGTACGTTCATCACAAACCGATGCGCTCTGTTGCGATAGGGTACGATTGTGGTCGCGATGTCTTTCACGATCATGATCGAGGATGATCACGATTTTAGCTACGATTGGACCCCGACGAGTATATATACAGCCCGACTTACCATGGACTTCATTGTTTCTTGAACTTCTACAGAGTAAACGGTACAATCCACAACCATTGAGGATGGCAGGAGTTGAGGATGATGACAACGTGACATTTGCAGTATTACTGCATGCTTACATTATCGCCAGAGAGGAAGAAGAGGAGCAGCAGCCAGACCAGCTTCATCCCCAACCACAAAGGGCCAAGAGAGCTGCAGTGTGGCACTTCTGGGTGCAACCATGGCTCACAGAGGAGAGGAGACAACAGTTTGGTCAGTTTTCCAGCCTCCTAGACACCCATTTGAGGCGTTCCAAACTACATATGGTTAACACCACAGCTCTTCGATGAAGTCTTGCAGAGGGTGACCCCGGTAATCGATAGGGAATTCGCCAGTTTCAGGCAACCCCTCTCACCTGGACTGAAACTTGCAGTGACAGTCTGAGGCACCTTGCCACTGGAGACAACTATCGGTCCCTTGCGTATGCCTACAGGTGTGAAGTGTCCACTATCTCAGAGATGGTTCCAGACTCTCGCCCTCGCATCTGCTCGTGAGTCATTCGTGTCAGGTCGTGAGCAGCGGGACCCGACAGAGGGTCACAGATCGTCACAGTTCGTGGGAGATCGCAACACATCTCAACAGAGCGTGGTGATTGTCTTGTCCACGCTTAATTCCGATCCCCACGATTTGGAAGCACGATTAGATGCGATATGTTGCGCTTTGTTACGATCTGATGCGATGATCACGATTGACAATTAATCGTGTCGATCGTAGAAAGTTTTGAACCGTCCAAAATTTTCTACGATCAGCACGATTGACACGACTGACCTCAAGATCTGATCAGATCTGATAGATCACCATGATTAGTCCACGTTTAAGACCACTATTTCAATCGTGGCGCGAATCGTGATAGTGTGAACATAGTATTAACGCCGCACTCAGCAATATTCCAGCTTTATGGCGCTGGTCTGTAAATAATTTAGTCTAGACCAGACAATCCAGTGATCAACAGCATGAGCATCGATCTACGCAATTGGGATACGATAACAGCGAGCCTGACCACCCGATCCTGTTAGTCGCCTCTTACGACAAGCACTGGTTATACTGAAGACCATTTCTAGCCCGGTTCTTCACGGTTTTGAAACAGTGAGAATTACCTGAAAGCATAAATATTGGTCTCAGGTTGTAGCTCAAACCACAGGCAAATTGTAGCGCAAATAGGGTTGCGCAACAAAGAGAAAATGACCAGTCTTCCCATATGCGAACGAAGCGCTTCGCTCGCATATGGAAGACTGGTCATTTTCTCTTTGTTGCGCAACCCTATTTGCGCTACAATATGCCTGTCATTTTCTCTTTGTTGCGCAACCCTATTTGCGCTACAATTTGCCTGTGCTCAAACACAAACATCCAAACTGTGCACGCTACATGAACATGCACGTGGAAATTGTGAATCACGACCTGAAAGTCGAGATGGCTTCGTGAATATATATTGAAAGGTTATATATTCTATAATTTCAGAATATTTATTTATACTGGAGTTTTTATCAAACACAGCTACATTTTACATATTTTGCTAAGTTCATTTGGTGTATTGGCATTACACGTGGCATCCACATTATTTCAAACATTATAGGGAGAAGAGGGAGAATGGAGCACAATTTTAATTGTCAGGACTAACGCTCAGCCCAGTCTTGATCTTTATAGTAAGGACCCGTTGGGTAGCCAACTGGTTAAAGCATTTGCTAGTAACGGCGAAGACCAGGGTTCGATTCCCAACATGGTACAAAGTGACAAGCCCATTTTTAGCAAACCCCGCTCTGAAGTATAGGAATATTGCCAAAACAGCGTCATGTCCAGTTTACACCCATGTACACAAAGTATCTGATCCAAACTACAAGTTCTCAGACTTCCGTCACGGTGGCTCAGTGGGCTAGATCACTGACTTTTTGTGTGTCCCGATTAGTTGCCTTACTCTGAGCGTTTGATTTCTAATCCCGGATGATACTTGACTAACCCAAACACCACCCCCCAACCCCATCCCATGGGAGTCATTGGAGATAGTGCATCACAGATTCACATTGGCAGGCGGAACGTAGAGCTGAATACTTAATATTTTTAACGAAATAAATTATGTTTTGCAAACTGACCTGAACATGATCTTGGGGGTCGAAGCAGGGAAATCGTTTTGACATTCTCTCTTTAGGTCAAGCATGTACGCGATCAAATTGTCCAGCAGTCAACTTTTTTAAAATACTCATGTCAGATTTATGTGAAAAGCGTTTTCATTTACGCAGTTATCTCTTGGTAACATTGATCGGTCGGTTCCAAGTAGAGACATCCAATCCGCAAGATAGCAAACAATACGGTCACTTCGACGATTATGTGGTGAGTTATAGATCGGATTTCCGGGATGTAACGAGTTTACGAATGACGTTGTACACCACACAACCAAAGTGATTCACGAACATTTAACACGTTAAGTGCCGTACGTCCCACATCTGATAACGGAACAAATTCATTAAAGGGCATGTACTTTTTGGTTAAGAAACAAACGGTCTAAGGAAGTTTACACTGGAAAATTAGAATTGAACTAAACATTCCATTTATGTAAACATTAGGATGAACACAGTTACATAAACACAGCAAATCGTTCATCTATGATACCTCCAGCAGTGAGTGTGGTTTTACGACGCTTTTAGCAACAGTCAAGCAATATCACGGCAGGGGAACACCAGAAATGGGCTTCACACATTGTACCCATGTGGGAAAAACACCTCCATGAAATATATCACAAACGAATAACTATTTTCTTGGTTGTTTCATTTTAAGCCTCCATCAAACAGGGAATTATGTTCTTAAGTTAGTAGTGTATAATGCAAACGATATATAGAGGGTACGAAACGACCTTCCGTGTAATACCATTCTTAATTAAACAAGTTAATGATTTGGTATCCATACTAAATCTTTCACGAGTTTTATGAAAATGGTATTACTAATGGTTTAGTATTCTGTTTATTACTCTCCAACATAAATTGATACAAACTGCCTACAGTGTGATGACTATCAGCTTTCTGCGAGTCAAGCAAGGTCTAATACCATTGTGACAGAGGTATTAGCATTGTGACGTCATAACTGTAAACCATTATGGCGTCATACGTCCGGCATCACGCGAAGTTATTACACAATGTGTACTAAATAGAGATTACTGTACTCGTGTCTGTCAGATACCATTTTTCTTACAACGAGTTGTTTCAAAACGTATTTAACTCGCTTTCGCGAAGGTCACGAGTAATGAGACCGAGTGTGGTATTTTATTTATTACCCACCTCTTACATGCATTAAATTGACAAAATAGCGTATTTTTGTTATTGTTATGGTTTCAAACTGAAACCGGTTTCATAAAGAGGTTGCGGAAGAATTTTGTTCTGTAGTCACTTTTGCATGACGTCTCACTGTATTGACGTCACTAAGCCATTCTCGTATGTCCCCTTGGTAACCGACGTCACGATGCATGTCAGTTGTCATCGCCTCGTACAGCCTCCTACAGTAAACTACTCCGTAGCACCCTTTTTCTTGGTTTGCAGTTGCTTCACTCGGATAACATCACTGGTGGAAACATTGCGTTTATGTTTTTTCGACGGATATATTGTCTCAGTTCGACTCAAAATTAAACAGTGATACGGCAACGTTCGCAATGTTTACATTCCCACAATGCATATAAGTTGTAGAATGAATGAATTCACGTGTTTGTTATGAATGAACAAGTAGTTCCGTCACAACGTGACCTAACTGAGAGCACACTCCGGCACAGCGATGACTTAACATAACATCACTGCCACAGGCTAATTTGCATATCACGTGACCGGACTTTTCTCTTGTTTGTAATCAAACGCGCATATTCATAAGAAGAAGAAACTGGACCCACGAAAGCTATTCGGCGCTCTCTTCATAATGTTTTACATTGTTACATATATATTCTTCCACAACTGCGACAGTAAGGTCTATGACAGTACATATTTACATATCAAACTGGCTGCATCGTTTGCTCTCCATCAGCTTCGATGACAGCACGTGGAGCCGTACAACCTATGTAAACAAAGGATCGCTACGCAAATCGAAATACTGTTACATGTTTTGGGATATTTTCTCAGTGAAAGTAAACCATTCTATTAAAGATGTTTAATTAGATGTGTAGACTCGTCAAATATAAAAGAGTTAAGAAATATGTACATTATATTGAATAGACGGTGCAAGATGTGACGTTTCTGGCCTGTGGCAGAGGTACTATGCTGGCTGGCCGCATGGAACTCTGGGTAGGAGAGTGACGACACAGGTCAAGGCGATACGACACTCGTATAATGTACGAGATCAGTATGCAACTACCAATACGTTGACCACGTGGGTAATAAATTTGTAGATTTATCCAACAGCGATGTCTTCAACGGGTGAGAAATAAATCAGTGTAATTACTCACACACAGTAGGGATTATGACGTAAAAAGCAAATGACGTCATATCATACATTATGACGCCGTGATGTCAGTAAAGGTGGACCAGCTGAACATAGCTTGACTGTCTGAGGGGTAATATTGTGACCAGTGTCCTCATAGGCTCATACTTCCCACTGGAGTTGCGATGGGGTAGCCTAATTGTTAAAACGTCCGACCTCCACGTTGAGAGGTCAAGGCTTTCTCTCCCCTTTTCCGGTTGGGATTCAAAGTTTCAGTGGAATCAATCTGGCCAACCCTAGTCCTTGACTACCATTTTTAATAACGAGTTCAAGCACGTCTATCGAACAGTGTGCGACTTTCCTCAGAGGGAGATAGGGTTGACGGCCTTAACATCCCTCGGGCGGTGGGGTAGCCTAGTGGTTAAAGCATTCGCTCGTCACGCCGAAGACCCGGGTTCGATTCCCCACATGGGTACAATGTGTGAAGCCCATTTCTGGTGTCCCCCGCCGTGATATTGCTGGAATATTACTAAAAGCGGCGTAAAACCAAACTCACTTACTCGCTCGTGGACACAACATCACGTCACCTTCCGTTTTCCACCAAAACAGGTGATTGGCAGAGTAATCTGACCAATGGGCGCTCAGTTTACATTACACACACGTCGAGGTTTCTCGCCTGACATCGAGTATAAACATAACAGCATTGTGTTTTCTCTGCTCATTCAATTAATGGTAGGCAGACTTCACACACGGTTCAGACACCAAGAACACGTTTTCGCCAGTACCTGATATCAGTGTTTTAGACATGTGCTCGAGGTGTCATTTAGCAGGCGTAAAATTGGTTACAAAGTCGATCACGTCTTGTCAAGGTCACATAATCAATCTCGGGCAGTATCGAATGAAAACCAGATCTACTCTCAAACAAAATGCTGAAAGGTTACGCATCTAACCGTCATATTTCCCGTTCCTGCTCTGAGTTCTTTGTAAACACGTTTATTCAGAAACAGGAAGAGAAGAAATTTCGTTTCACGTCATGTGCATATCACTAAAAGTGGTAGTAGTGTGTCCAGCCTTACTTGCTGTGTTTACAATGTATTGGTTTGAACACAGAATCAACAATGATCTATCGAAGGGATAACCAGATCTACTGACAAACAAAATGCTGAAAGGTTACCATCTAACCGTGATATTTCCAGTTAGCAAGCCCTGACTTCCTGATAGACGTGAAAACCTGGCAACAACAAACAGATAATCTCATTTCGTTTTTATTTATCGCCGTGACTCACACGTCGTCATTTCCTTAAAATAGACAAACGTCTCCACTGCAGCGGATATCTGCCCAGTGTGTTGAGTGAGTTTTTGTTTTACGCCGCACTCAGCAATATTCCAGCTATATGACGGCTTTCTGTAAATAATGGAGTCTGGACGAGACAATCCAGTGATCAACATCGCGAGCATCATTCGGCGCAATTGGGATACGATGACATGTGTCAACCAAGTCAGCGAGCCTGACCACCTGATCCCGTTAGTCGCCTCTTACGACAAGCATGGGTTGCTGAAGACCAATTCTTACCCGGATCTTCACGGGTCACCCAGTGTGTTGAAGGTGATCGAGGAATGTATAGTCCCTTAATATGTATAATATTGATAGTAACAAATAAACTCATTTCAATTTAAAAGGAGCCCAAGTGAGTTGGGAATATCAGGGGAAATCTTGACTTGCTTCATTTAGGGCTTTAGCATTGCAGGGAGGTCTAGGCAGTAGGGAAATAATGTGGTTCAAAGAGGGTGAGACAGACCAAAGAATGTACTACATTGTACTCGTGAAGTAGTCACGATCTCCTGACAATGAAAGGTTGCACAGTCCACCCTAGAGTGACTGCAATCGATATACTTTTTGTTCTTATAGCTATGGTTTTAGCTGATTTCTGAAAGGACGTCAATCATTCATGAAGGCAATGGGTGTGGCCTCGGCAGTGATGCACGAATACTAACTGAAACGTTCTGTGAAAAGCGCGTGTGACCTTGCAGTCTCCAGTACTTCAGTACTTCAGTGCTTCAGTACTTAACGAGTATGACGTTGAGTACAGGCAGGCGGTACGTATATGCTTCGGAAAACGTTTATGAAGAACCAGAGGAACATTACCACCTGGTTAATCTTTAAAGATTTTCGGTATTCATTCTGTACAATTTGTTACCGATATTTCATTGTATGTTCTAGTTGTAATATATAAGTTTATATTGAGAAAGCCATTCTGAAAGTAATTGATCGTTATTTTTTCACTTCACACGCTGCTACGTCATTGCTTTTTCAATTGCATGGTGGATGAAAGTTGTCAATAAATGCGTACTCAAAGAATGAAAAGGAAGATTAGTCACACACGGGACCTGTGGTACATACTGAAAGCTTAGAACTGCCTTTTTAGGGGCAGAAAATCTTAACAAAATACAAATGGACATATGACATTTTGGAAGGGATATTGTCACATAGTAGAGCATTTTACTGCGTTTTACTCTGTTCAAAGATGCGACATCCCCACGTAGTTGACCTTGAAAATGTCGCGTTGTCGCATTACCCCCCTTTGCTAAAAGTAGTAAAGTGTGAAATGTGACAATGAGAAAAACTGTTCAACATGACGGCTAGTGTGTTGCGACAATGTCGAGTTTCCTCAGTTGTTCACAGTTATTATTTGCTTTTGAAAGGACGACAACGCTGGACCGTCCTTTTCATAGGCACCCCTGCACCCCCTTTTGTGCTGAGAGTTTGTTAAATAACCATTGAAACTCGGGTGAAAATGAGGTGTGCACCCCTCCTTTTCTCAATAAGGAGAACGCACGCACACACACACACGCACACACATCCCTCTCTTCTCAAAGCTGTATCCGCACCTGCTTTTCAGGATTTCATATGGAAGCGCTATGGCAATAGACAAAATCTTATCAGCGATTAGGGGCGGTGGGGTAGCCTAGTGGTAAAAAGCGTTCGCTCGTCTCGCTGAAGACCCAGTTCGATTCCCCACATGGTTACAATGCATGAAGCCTATTTTTGGTTCCCTCGCCGTGATATTGCTGGAATCTTGCTAAACGCGACGTAAAACTAGACTCACTCACTTATCAGTGATTATATACTAGCCACATAAAGAAACTGTGCACACAGAAAATTCCTTCAGGATTGTAATACAACACAGAAAAGAGGAAATGATGTAGACACTTAATAAGCTGAAGTATCGGGCCACAACAACATGTCAAAAGAACATGAACAATATCCGTAACGATGACGTCAGAAGTTCAAAATTGAGGGGGTCACCTGTCGAAGTCACAAAGTCAATAACGGGTATGACCATCATGCGCGTGAAGCACAGCAGTGCATCGACGACGCATATAGGCTACCAAATGAGCATTGAAGGCCTGGGGAATGGTTTGGGACGTGGTCACTGCCGTCTGGAACCTGTGTCTGAGATTATTCACCCGAATCTATCTGTCCTGTCTTGGTGTCGTTACTCGGGGACGCCCAAAACGTGGGTGGTCGGCGACGTCATTACTGGTTCCATAACGCCTGACGAATGCAGATATCGTGTTACGATGGCATTGGAAATGTGCTGCCACCTGTTGTTGGCTCATGCCTGCTCGAACCATTCCAATGGTTTCGTGACGTTGAGCAGATGTTAATTTTTGGCATGATGTGCATGTGACTTCTCATGTGAATTTGTGAACGTTTGAATGACCAAAGATCAAGCTTTCGACAGTGACAGCAATTTCTGAGTTTCACATGTTGTGTGCAGCTGCACAGGCTGCACGTGCAGTAACACATTGCAAGGCCATAGGCCATCATCAATGACGTCACGTCGCCTAGCACCTGCATGAGCGTTTGATCGTTTCCAATACTTGCCATGTTCACACCTTTATTTATGTATAAAGACACTGTCTGTCTATCTTTATATTTTCTGTGTGCACAGTTTCTTTATGTGGCCAGTATATATAAAGTTTGTTAATCGATGACAGACGTTTACAGGCACCTACCACCAAAAGACATGAAGACTGCTCCCAATGCTTTCCTGCTGTGCATTTCAAGGAAGACGATATGAATTATTAAAACGAATGCGTCTGTACAGAACTGTTAACATTGCTGCACAGCAATATGGATTATAAGTCAAAACAACATCTTCATTATACAAACACAACTTGCAGTTCCTCCACCTTCAACTGAAGTCGCCCTGGGCCCGGTTCCTCAAAGCGATCGTAGCTCTACGACAGTCGTAAGTCTATGTTAAAGCATGGGAGTTAGCACTACGATCGCTTTGAGGAACGGGGCCCTGAACGTTGTGTGTTCGGCTAGATGTCGTCACACATTTGTCGGAGTAGGAACTAGATGTATATCGACAACGTACCCTCATAGAGGACACCGGGTGTTCACCAAACGAGTGTGAATGTTCGGTTCTACCGTTCAGGTTTACTGTAAAGTTGGTCCTTAAAATATCCCACAATAAATATGTTCGTTAATGCGTTCCTCGGGTGCATGTTTTGTCTTATTAATTACAACGTAATAAATCAATCATAGAAATATCTAACGGGATGTCTAAAACCATCAATACTATCTTCCAGTACTTGAACGTCTTTCCCGTGAAGATCCGGGTTAGATTTTGTCTTCAGCAACCCATGCTTGTCGTAAGGGGCGACTAACGGGATCGGGTGGTAAGGCTCGCTGACTGGATTGACGCGAGTTATCGTGTCCCAGATCCGTAGACCGATGCTCATTGTACCACTCACTGGATCGCCTGGACCAGATTCGACAATGGGCTCCACTTATGTAAAGAACGAATGTATTGAATTTCTTCCAGTTACATATACAGCGACCTAAAGATGAAATATTAATGATCGTCTTGTTCTGTCAGTTGAGTCTGTCTTCCTAAAAAATGAAAACTTCAAAGAAGGCATCACACGGACAATGTTTTTATGGGATTCCT